GTTTTGTATAAAATTTAGTTCTGTATGAAATTATAATTGTACTGTGTTTATTTACATCATTAAGTCTTTTATTTTATGATATAAAAGCTTCAAACTGTTAGATAAGATCAATACATTGTGTAAATTAAAACTATATCAAATCTTCTGTGTAAAAGCTGGCAATATAGTGAGGTTCTATGCCAGCTACTGAATTACAACTTTACTCTGTTTTTTTTCTTCAGAAACCTTTGAATGAAGATGATTCTACAAGAGAATTTAGCAGCAAACATAATATTCCTATTTATTATTGGAATAACAAGGATGGCTGGGAGCTTAATCAAGGGTAGGAACACAATGGCTTTCTGCTATTGGTTTATCAAAATTATCATTATTTCATTATTAGTGTGGCTGATTTTGATTGTTGTCCCATGGCAGGCCACCTGGTCCATATGACATTGCAGTTGTTGCATCCTTTGGCTACTTAATACCTAACCGCATTCTGGACATGTTTCCATGGTAACAAAAGCAGATTGCATTTAAGATTTTTCAATAGTGTATTATGTAAGAGTCAGTGCAGTGACATTTATTCAAACCCTACAAGATTCAATCACTGTATTGCTTAATCAGTACTTTTTCTATCCATTTTAAACAAATCTGGTGTTTATTTCATTGTTTAAAGTGTTTTAACATTTAATCTCTGGGAAATTAGTCTACTGTACAGTCTCTTTTTAATTTTAACACAGTTGCAAACAAACAGAAGTAAGTTGAGAATTAAGAATCAAAACTACTGATTTTGGAGAGTTCATCATGATATAACAGCATTATTTTTTAAGGTTAGACGATGTAACAAATCTCTGATAATTAGCCTTGATAATGTGCTCTCAGATCTTGAAATTGAAAGCTTGAATTAACAATACAGTTGTCCTTCTTGACTGATCAAATCTTAGCTTAAGTCCCTAATTTTGAGTCAATGGTAAAAATAAGTTGATTAAAGGAAACCACATATTGATCTTCAGTTCAACCTGTTCAGACTATGCTTTAGCTTGTAGGAAGATACACTTAGACCTAGAGAAAAACATTGACTTGTGGATAGTTAAAATTGGAAAATGTGCAACCAAGCAGAATGATACATGCATATTATGTCTACTCAACTGCAGTGTTAGCAAAAAATAGAATGTTGACCTTGTGTTATCATTATGTTTATTGTGTAATTCATTTTCATCTTAGTGGTGCTATAAACATTCACCCATCTCTCCTGCCACAGTGGAAGGGTGCTGCCCCAATGTCACATGCAATATTAAATGGAGCAAAGGAGACAGGGATATCCATTGTTGAAGTATCTAGAGACAGGTCAATTTGAATACCAAAAATGATTCACGAACAGATTCTATGTTTCCATGCATAAGTTCAGTAATAGATCACAGATAAGGTCAAAATGTGGCAAGAACAAAAAAAATTGTGCCCTGTGTCACCTATGTTCTCACCACATTTTGAAGTCATCTGTGATTTATTACAGTACAGACCAATGGCAACATGGAATCTATTTGTTTTATGTGATAAAAAAGCAAAATATTGTTAATGTCATCCCTACGTCTGTCCTCCAGTAGATCATAGATGAGAACCAATCTAAAATGCATGGAGGATTCAGCTTATTACCTATTAATCTATATAACATGCAAAACTGCTGTCATTGCAAATGAGCAAAGCTGGTTAATACTGAACTTTAATTTAATTACACTACTCAAGAAACATTGAGTGATTGAAAGCAACCCTCAGAAAAATCTTTCCAGAGTCAAATTTTCGCAACATGTGAGTCTGTTGGCCAAAAAGAGGGATAGCTATGCAATACCAGGAGAACCAGATCAGTCATTAGGCGCACATGTAATAACATGGTTATGCAGACTGGAATTGAAGTTTTGATAACTAGTTGGCATAATAGAGGATGCTACTGTCATCTCTAAAAGAAGCCCCACTGCAGAGGCTTGATAGCTCATCCAAACATCTTGAATTTGGGTTGACTGGTAGCTGGGGAGTCTCTTTTCCATTGATATTGTATCCCAACACAGTTAGTGACCCTTGTATTCCAATTATTCTTATTCTAATTATTTTAATGTCACTTGTGAATTTTAGATTTGATGCAGGGCAGTGCATACTTCAACAAACATTCAAGGTTTGGAAATTTTTTACTTTACTTGTTGAGTTTTCTATTTTCGATTTAAATTAAAAATGCTAAAGTAAAGATTTCAATTATTTCAAAGATTCCAGAAGATATTATGTATGATGACCTTTCTGATCAACTTGCAACACTTGGCACACAAATGGTAGGTATAAAGGTCATAAAATGGTATTAAAATAAAAGGATAGGTAGCATTGATAATCATTTAGTACTTTTTACCAGGCTTGGTTCTCTCACCTCCAAACCCATACCCAGTTACCAGAGCTTTATCCTTCTCTTTCCTCAAGTATCATCTTGGTCTGGGAGAATTCTGAAATTCTCTCTCTGCTTCCTCTTTACCCTCCATTTTTGTTTGGCACCCAAATCCTCAGACTAGAACAGGATAGATTTCAACAAAACGTGCCTGCTTTTGAATTATTTATCATTATTATTATTACTATTATTATTATTATTGTTATTGTTGTTGTTTGAATTATTATTTGGCCATTGGACCTTCATGTAAACAAAGGTTCCTTTGACGGATGTAGTATTTGGTGGATTGGGACTTGCACGCTTAACCGCCATGTTAGTTTCGGTCAACATGATAAAAGGTTTTTTTAGTTCAATATTCTCGTACTACTGACAGTATTACTTTGTGTTCCCAGTTGATGCATGCTTTGGAGAATTTGGAGTCTTTACGAAAAAATCCCATGCAGTTGAGAAAGATGAAAGCTAGCTGGGGTAAGTTCGGACGATTTTGAAATGTAACAAATAGAGTCCAATCTGTATTTAGCAGCGCTGTATGGCGTTTTCAATCGTTCTTTCTAATACCCTTATTCTGTGGAACCTGTATTAAGCGGTCAACCTCTATTACACGGTCACCCCGCCATTCCCCGTAGGTGATCGCTGAATACAGGTTCGACTTTTTCCAAGGAATTTTGCATATTGCATCCTCTGTGATTTTTAATTAGTTGAATAATTGTTACCGCTGTCACAGCCCATCGTCTGACTAAAGAGGATGGTTACATTGACTGGACACATCACACTTGGTCTTACATCAGGAGGCGATGGAATGCTCTCTCGTCCCGAGTAAGAAATGATTCCTGTTTGCGTTTATTTATCCACGGCAGCTTAATACCTGAATGCAGTTTTGGTTTGATTTTTATGTTTGAGAATTCAATACTAAAAATTTTAAAACAGGAACACGAATGATCATAGCTTTGATTTCTCTCAGAATTTTTTGCCTCGTGTTGACAACCTGAGCGAAAGTCACGATGAGGGTTAAAAGGGAAGTTGTTTATCAACAAAGTGTTTTAAGTGTGATGCGTGAAACGTTATCGGTCAGTTGTGCTTTGATATTTGTGGGTGGAGGACTCAAGTACATTGGTCGGGATTGGTCAGTCTGATCCATCGGTAAAATCACCAAAGGTGGTTTTTTTCGGGTGTCATTTGAT